GCTGGAAATACCCTATAAATTGCAGCACTAATTTCGTTTCTGCTCTGTAGGCTTCCTCTTAACCGAGTTATGAATATTTTCATTGAGCACCGCTTTTTAGAGAACGCCCCGCCCACCGAGGGTGGGTCTCCTCATTCGATCTGGCTTACCAACGCACACCTATACCCACTTTTGTCCCCAGTCTCGAGGCTGTTTTGTGACTGAATTTGAAATCATGGTCCTCAGTACCACTCATTTCGACGCACGCCACGCCCACTGTGGGCACCCATCCCAACTTGACCTGGACCCAGTAGGTTGTTGTCCGCTTAATACGGAATTTCGTGACAGACAGACAGACAGACAGACAGACTTAGCGCATTATATATAGTAGGGATATTGTTGGAACACCGTGCCTGGAAACCACTTTAGCACCTCATGTCATTTACTTCCTAACACATATACATAGTGCAAAGTGTAGCGTATTTGTAATGTTTCGCACTAGAACAATCATTGATGCCATGTTATTCAGTGCAGTGAGAGACTCGAGGGCTTGGTATCTGAAGGAAAAGAATAAATTCGTGAGGTAGTTGACATTATAAACGCTTAGCATTTGCCTCTCTCAACCGACCTTGTTTTCGAGTGTTCTGAGCCAGAATCCGGTGTTGTTAGTTGATTTAATTAGCACTTGTAGATGCTTGCCTATATGTATAGAAATCTGACACCAGGGTATTTTTCTGAGGATGACCAGTGCGAGAGCGCATACGTGGATGATAGGCCATGGATTTGTTTATTCTTTCTGTAAGAGATGTCCGTAGAATGTAATTCAGTTTAATCGGAAATGATCCGCTTACAGGAGCGTTTGCGTTACTGTTGCGAATTAATTTTTTGAGGCGCTAGTGTACTCAAAAGGGGCATGCACGCTGACTGAGCCTTGGAGAAGGGGATGAACTTTGAGGGTAAGGAAATTGCTTACACATCCCCTTAGTCCCAAAGCCTAGTACTAGGGGACCAGCAGGAGGGGGGGGGGAGGAGCATGATGGCCTGGCGCTTTTATTCGCCAACCTTGTGTGGGATTTTACAGCTTCTGCGTTGGAAGATAATAGCAGTTCTTCACGTAAGCTGTGAGCAAAAGCTTAACTATTGCGCTATCAATGGGAAAACTGTTCTCCACGATTTTAATCATTTTGCATGAAATGTATGTTCAGTGTTCGCTTCCTACTTTTGCTGAACTTCCTACTTTTGCTGAA